GCGGAATTTAATAAAGCAAAAAATTAAAATACAGAGCTAAGGGTAAAATGGACAAAACACTCACAGAAGGACAAAAAAGAGTAAACAAACAAGTAAGGAAAAAGGTACAAGTAGCATTCTCCTTTCCTGAACAATGTGACATCTTAGATTAATTAAAAATTGGGAATTATTGTCGGTATTAATCAAGAATATGTCTGTAGATTCGTGTTGCGACTTGCGAGGCTGAGAATTCAATGGTGGAGATTACGAAGTTTGCCGAACAAGGTTAATTAAATAATAAAATTTAAGATTATTCAAAGCCTGTCAAAACAGTGACGACTATTCCAGCCGGCAATTTTGACTGCTTGTGTTTGCATCATAGCTTTGTCGTTGAAATTTTCACCACTTTAAATTTATTTTATAATTTCCTATACGATTATTTTCAACCACACATTCATAAAATAAAATATTGTACGCATATAGCAAAAAAAATTCTCTACTTTTTAACCACACGTTATCTTAAAAATCACTATTCAAAACTCTTTTTTTCTATCAAAATAATTGTGATCACTACAATTACACGTAACGAACAAATTACTTCACATGCTTGTCTTGTATTGTTTAGCTCTGTTTATTATAACATATCAAACATCGTATTGAGTCTTTATTTGCCTTTCATTCTTTCAAAACTCTTTGTTTTTACACTCTTTTTCAATCATACATTCACACAATAAAATATTCTACGTATAAACTCAAATATTTTTTTCATATTTTTTAATTACACATTTTCCAAAAAATCACTATTTAAAATAATAATTTTTCAGAAAAATGGCCACCAATCATGGGTTGATTTTCCTTCAAATCTCAATATCAATTTGCATTTAGACTGAAGTCCCATTGATTATTAGAAGCGTAAATGTGACCGAACCATTTAGAAAGGCGTTTCATGAGGGGAAAATTATATGAAATCAGGGGCTTAGTTTGTCATTTTTAAAAGTCAGGTTTTAAGTTTATTTTTGTAAAAATCAGATAATATATTAAAACTTAATTCTTAACCTAATTTCTCCCCACATTCCCGTCGCCTCCCCTTTCCTCTCCTCCCCTTCCCCCCAAATCCACAGCAGCGTCGCGGACCGCCGATGCAAGGAATCAAGCTAAATCAATTACAGGTCTAAGAGCAATCAAACATCG